CTTCTGAGACAGCTGTGCTGGAGCAGCTTTTCCTGCCTTAAAAACAACTCCATGCAAGGTTTACAGATTGTTTGCATCACAGAGCAGCTAAAACCACAGCCCCCTTACAAACAAGCCCCACCATCATCGTGTTTGTGTTGCTTAAAGCAAGAAACACCAACAGCCGATAGTCAGGTGTGATTTCCCATCCCTTCCCATTTCATGTGGGTTTGTGGCACTCCCATCTATGATTTGTTCTTTCTGAAGCACTCAACCAGCATCTTCAAGGTATTTCTCTTCCTTTTGAAGAACAAATTGCTTTTGTGGACAACCACAACGCAACCAAAACCTCCAGTCACCCATTTGGGAAGAAGAGGAAGTTGTTACACACACAAAAAACCTCAAAACCAGCAGAACTGGATTGGCAGTGATGCTTGGGAATTCCTGCAGTCAGGAGTTAAGATGTTGGAACTGCTGCTCTTGGAATCAATGGGTTGGCATTGACTCTGGGAAAGGCAAAATAAAAGCAGAACTCACATTTCTGCAGTAGCTGAAGAAATGACATTTAAAAAATGCCCTGAAATGAGTTTTACCAGCAGCTTCTGAGAAGGGATTTGTCTCTGCTGGGGAAAGGCTCTCCAGCCAGAGGATTTCCACCCTGCAATGCTCTCTCAGCCCAAGTGAGCCATGTGCCATCAGCAGGATGAGCCTTTGATCCACCTTCCATACAGATGCAAGCAAGAGAAGCAGAAAATCTCTCATGGGCTAAAAAAAAGCCTAAAATCTGGTATTGAGGAACAACTGGAGCCCATTATTTCAAGAACATTCTTTTAAAACAAACCAAGCCTTTACTGCCTGAAAACACCCCTTGACTCCCACAGCTCTGAGTGCAGCACCTGAGCTCTCCTGTGCCTTCCCAGAGCATCCCAATGGAAAAGGATGAATTAATGGAGTTCCACACACTGATGGAATATATTCCATGTACCCCATGATCTCCAAGCTGTGTGTGGCCTTCACACAACTCATTTTCCCATGCTGAAACTCCCAGCAAACCTCCTGCTCCTTAGCTGAAGCGTCACCCAGCGCAGGGCACAGGATCGCAGCAAGGTTTGGCCAAATATTCCATCACCTGCCTTAAAATCCCAGCTCTAAAGTCAAACCTGGAAACAAACAGCTCTGCATGTGCTGCTGTGGGAAGGTGATGAGTTTCAGGATAGAAAACCAGGCTAAATCCTTGCTCAGGAACACAGGGAACAGGAAAGGGCTGGATGGAAAGAACAGAGAGTGGCACTGAACAAGCAAGGATTAAGGACAGAACATGGTTTGAAGGGGTGAGGATGCTATGGCACACAAGACAGCAGAAATCAAGATGTTCCATTCTTCCTGCAGTTCCCAACTGCAGAGCCACCCAAGCCACAAATCTCAGAGCCACCAAGTCAGACTCAAGGTCTCTTTCCAAAGGAAAAGCTGCTGGAACATTTATATGTGAATCTCTAAATCTGAAATGTCAAAATGGTCCCTAAATTTGAAACAGACCCTCCCAGAGCAGCTCCAACCTGACAGCAGCCTCTGATGTGCAGAAAAGCAGATGCAGATGGTGAAAGACAGGCAAAAATCTGCACTGGGACCTTTCTGCACACCCTGTTTGAATTAAGAGAGAATGCATCCATGCCATACAACTGCAAAACCCTCTGCTCACAAGCTGATTTGTTCCTTTCCAGCTCAGCTGGCTGTTGAGAGTCAAGATTTGGTGTGTCCAGGGAATGCAGGTGTTCCCAAGGAAAGCAGTATGGCATCCTTATCTAAATTCATTTAAACACCACCTGAACCTGGAAAGTTTGCAGCACCATTTATTATCCACAAGCTTCTGTCCCTTGATGGGCATTAATTATCCTATAAAATAATGGAAACACAGAACATTTAGGGTAAGAAATGGGACAATGCAGCTCCTTCATCACCTCCCCAGTCCTGTTTTGAGTGAGGAGGATTCCAAGGTGCCTGTGCCCTCCTCTTGTTCCTGCAGCAATGATAATCCTCCTGCTCCATCCCAGAGGAATCCATGCACGACCCCTCCACATCCAGGAGTGACTTCTGTTTGTGGCGGACCATGGAAATGCCAATCCTGCCTGGAATCCTACAAAAACTGGGACTTTAGGGTTGGCAACAGCTCCCACAACAACAATCTCAATCATCCCTGGAACAAGGGAAATTCCTGACACCCAGGAGAGCTCACAGCTCTCAACAAGGGCTCATTTCCCAGCAATTCCAGCCCCAAACCCCCTGAGAGCACAAAGGAAAAGCCACATTTCTGCTGCAGAGGACTGTGCTGAGGAAGGGCCTCACTGTGGGGTCCAGGATATGCAAAGTTTGGGTGGATGGACAGCAGCATTCCTGCAGCTGCTGCTCCTGCCCTGCACATGGCCTGAGGAGAGGACAGGCTGTGCACAGGGGCACTCATGGATGGAACACAGAGTGCTGAAGGAGAGCCCAGCCTGATTTTCTGCAATCTAGAAACACCTAACAGGTCTGTCAGGAGCTGTTGTTGGTGATAAATATCAGCCTTGAGCTCTTTTTCTGCTGTTTGATGGGTGGTTTCTTCCAAGCTTGAGCATTTCAGGGGTAAAGATGTGTTCAAGCCTCACCTCTGAAGGGAAAGTGGGAGAATCCTCAGCTGGAAGGAGCTCAAATTGCTGGGAGTCCCAAAATCAGCTCCATCCAAACCCAGAGAGCCACTTCTGGGCTGCTCTGACAGGGAGGTGACACCTCACAAGCTGCCAGCACACCCCAAAACTGGGGCTGGGGACCTCAACAGCACTGACTCCAATCACAGCCCAAAACCACTGCACAAAGCCAGAGCACCTCAAGGAACTTTTCCATCATGCAACTGCCTCTGGCAAAGCTCACATAAGAGCTGATTCAAGCAAAAGCACCTTGAGAGCCACCAGGAAAACCTCACAGAATGAGCAGGTTGGAAGAGACCTTCAGGATCATCGAGACCAACCCAGCCCCAACACCTCAACTCAACCCTGGCACCCAGTGCCACATCCAGGCTTTGTTAAACACACCCAGGGATGGGGACTCCACCACCTCCCTGGGCAGAACATTCCAGAACTTTATCACTCTTGCTGTAAAATACTTTTTCCTGCTATCCAACCCTGTATTTCCCTTGGTACAGCTCAAGGCTGTGTGCTCTGGTTCTGTCAGAGGGACTCCAAGAGGCTTTGCAGGGCAGCAACGTTTCTCTCCAAAAACATTTGGGTGTGTTCAAGGGAAAAAGGTCCCTGAGCAGCAAACACACAGACATGAGGGAAATACATCCCTGAAATACATCCAGAACCCAAAACTTCTGTAGAAAGTGGGTTTGCTTTGAGTATCTATTTCCAGGACAGGCTGCTCTAATCAACAGGGGTCAAAGTGGAAATCTCTCACTCTCAGACATCCCTGATGCTGCAGCATCCCTAATTCCAGGTATTTTGCAAAGTAAAGGCAGCCCAGGTGTACACACCTGAACAGCCCCAGCAGGTGTTTTAAAGGATGGGAGGAGGAAGGGAGAAACAACCAGTCCACTGAGCCCCAGCAATAACAACACATTTATTTCTCACTCCATCTGAATTGGCTGCAGGAGCCCAATGGGTGAGGAAAGGAGAAATCAGAGCCAGAGGGAGATCAGAGTGTGTAAATCATCCTCCCAGACATCATCCACATTTACCAACTCAAACCCCACAGCCATCTCCACATCATCCAGTGTCTCCTCTCTGTAAAAGCAGGATGCGCAAAGGAGCTGCTCCCAAAGCAGGAACCAAACCCAGCCCTTTTCTCCAGGGAATGATGGAACTGGAAAGGCCCCTCTGGAGAACACAGCTCATGGGGCTGTTTATCAATCACTCAAGAGATCTGTGAAGCCACAGAACGTCCCTGTTGAGCCAGCAGACTACAAAACAACTCCACAGCAAAGGGCAGAGCCAGGAGTGCAAGAGCAAGCAGAGCCACCCCTGGTTACTGGGGGAACTGGGAGCTCTGTTTTCCCAAGGGGGGCACAGGGAGCAGCCAGGGCCAGCCCCTCATGGCCAGGGGATGCTGGGGGACACAGGAGGGGACAGAGCCAAGCACAGCACCCACAGCACTTGGGGCCAAAGGAGGACACCCAGGGGAGAGATCCTGCTGGGGCTGTGGGACACAAACAACTGGGATGCTGTGTCCCTCCCCACTCAGCACCATGGGATGCTGCCACAGCCACCCACAGGAGAGGAGTTGAACCCCTGGGGAGCAGTGCCCACGTCCCAAAGGTGCTGCTGGAGGCTACAGGGACAAGAGAGGGACCCAGAGGAGGTGGCAACCAGGAGACACCAATGGAACAAGGAGAGCCAGGGAATGGGACACCCAACATCCAGGGCAAGGGCCAGGGAACCTCCAGAAACTGCAGCACGGAGACCCCGAGAGGCCAAGCCCGGGGGACACGGTGCCCCCAGCGCCAGGGCCAAAGGACAGACTGACAGCCAGAACCAGCGCCAGAGGAAGCTCAGGACAGATCCCGAGGGACTGAACCGCCGGGACGCGGTGCCCCAGGAGCAGAGAAGGCTCAGGAGCGCAGAGAAGGCTCAGGAGCACAGGGAACGCTCAGGAGTGCAGAGAACGCTCAGGAGCGCGGAGAACGCTCAGGAGCGCGGAGAACGCTCAGGAGCGCGGAGAACGCTCAGGAGCGCAGAGAAGGCTCAGGAGCGCAGGGAACGCTCAGGAGCGCAGGGAACGCTGAGGAGCACAGAGAAGGCTCAGGAGAGCAGGGAACGCTCAGGAGCGCGGAGAACGCTCAGGAGCGCAGGGAACGCTCAGGAGAGCAGGGAACTCTCAGGAGCACAGAGAAGGCTCAGGAGCGCAGGGAACGCTCAGGAGCGCAGAGAAGACTCAGGATCGCGGCTCTGCAGGGAAGCGATCCCGGAGCTCACCCAGCCTGGGGCGGGCACAGGCACCCCCGGCCCACCCTCCCCTCCCGTCCCGGGCCGCGCCGCCGCCCCCCGGGGTACCTTGATGCGCTCCCGGCACTGGGACGGGGTGCGCTCGTAGCCCAGCTCGGCCAGGGCGCGGGAGACGCGCTCGTACATGGCGGGCCCGGGCGCTTTGCTGCCGAACACGGTGCCCGCTCCCTCCAGCTGCTGGTACCGCGCCTCCACCAGCCGCTCGTTGCCCCACACGGCGATCAGCGCGTTGGTCTCCGCCGGAGTCCAGGACATCCCGCGGCACGCGGCGGCCGCGGCGGCGGCGGCGGCGCCGCCGGGCGAGAAGGAGACGGAGGGCGAGGCCCCGCCGCGGGCGCCCAGCGCGGCCCCGCCGGCCGCCGGCCCCGCGCCCAGCGGGGAGGCGCCGCTGGGCGTGGAGGGGTCGGACAGGCTGGGGTTGCCGTCGCTGAGCGCGCCCGGTGAGCCCGGCGACAGCACCTCCATCTTGGGGACGCGGAGCGGTGGCTCGGCCGGTGGGAGCTGCGAGGAGCCGCAGGGCGCCGCCATGATGGGGGTGCGCACCGAGCGAGCGGAAGTGACGCGCAGTTGGGGGAGGAACTTCCTGCGCGCCGGGGAGGGGCGGTGCCAGAGGAGGCGGGACCGTGACGCACCGAGGGGGCGTGGCCACGACAATGAGAGTGGCTGCGGGCGGGGGCGTGGTTCCGAGAAAGGGGCGTGGTCAAAGGCGGGGCACGGGCGTAGTGGGCGCGGTTATAAAATGGGCGGGCACGCTGTTTGTGTGGTGAGTGGGCGTGGTCGACGAGTGGGCGTGGCTCACCGGCTCAGCACCACCCGACGTGGGCGTGGCCTATGTGGGCGGGGCAGGGTCCCCTCAGCCCCCTCAGGGCAGGGACCCTCCAACCCCTCCCTCCCATCGCTCGCGATTTGCCCTCGCCCGAGGACCCCAAATGTGCGGCCGGGCATCCCAAAAGTCAGGTGTAGCCCCCAGCCTTGGAGAGGAGCATTCCCGCCGAATGCTCCTCCTCCGGGCCGAGCACGTCCCTCCGGACTCGGAACCCCTATCCCTGTGGAGCACCCCTGGGCTTCCAGAGCTCCACACGCCGTTATTGAGCATCCCCCAAGGACTGAGGCTGAGTCCGGGGGACGGGGATCTCTTTCCCCACCTCTCTTTTCCTACCGCTCGCTGTCCCCGGCCCCGGTGCCTCCGAAACCCCGGGACCCCAATTAAGGGTGACCGTGATTGATGAGGCAGGGCGCAGCTCGCGGGGGGTGCGGGGACACCCCAGCTGCGCCCCAACTCTTCGTTAAGCCAAGACTAACGAGCATCGGGGAGATTCCACCTCTCCCGACCTCCTCAACCCCTCCCAATCCATCCAAGGGGGGTGGTTAGAGAGGTCCTATGGGACCCCCGCCCGGGTTGGTTAATTAAACGCTTTAATTAGGGCCGTGTTGGTTAAACAAATGGCGGGGGAGGAGGATGGAAGGGGACATCCCCCCTGCCTCTGTCTGTCCCTGCCGCTCCTGCCCGCAGCACGGCGCGAAGCCATCAGCAGTGTAATTATACCCCTCTAATTAGCGGGATTAGGGGCTAGCTGCGGATCCCACACTCGATCCCCCACCCCGAGCGGGCTCTTTGTCACTGCTGTCCCCAGGGAGTGTCCACAAGGGACGTCCCCAATGCCTGCATGTCCCCAAAGGGATGTCTCTGCTGCCACCACATCCCCGAGGGGGTGTCCCTGCTGCCAGCACATCCACCCACTGTCACCACTGTGACATGCCCCCAAACGGACACACAGCTGGTGTGGTCCCAGAGGGATGTTCCCACTGCCAGCATGTCCCCAAAGGTGTGTCCCCAATGTCAGCCCAGCATCATGTCCCCAAAACGATATCTCTCCCACCACCATGTCCCAAAACAGAAGTCCCCACTGCTGGTGTGACCACAAGGGGATGTCTCTGCTGCCACCGTGTCCCCAAAAGTATGCACCCACTTCCTTGGAGTGTCCTCAAAGGGGTGCCCGCACTGATGTGTCCCCACTGCCACTCCTGAGGCATGTCCCCAAAGCGATGTCTCCACAGCCAGCTCTGCTGGGTGTGCCCAGAGGACTGCACGCATCCCATGTGGGGTCTCCAGAGGGGTGTCCCCGCTGCTGCTGTCCCCTCAGATGGCCACACCAGCTGTAGTGTCCCCGCAGCTGTAGACCCCCAAGGCCCCCGGAGCTGGCCAGACCACGATTAGAGGCCCGGGGAGGAGGGAGTGGAGGCGGGTTGGGCCGGATGCAAATGAGGGTGGCGGTTAATTAGGGCCTGAACACTCATTACGGCCGAGAGCAGCTGATTGCGATGCAGCCCCGAGTCTCGGCAGCGCCATTTGACCGCGCGCTAATGACGAGGGGGTGGGGGGCGAGGGGGGGACAGGGGGGTCCCCCCAGCCCGGCCCACCCACGGCACCTCCGCAGACATTCCTGGGAGGGGCAGGGTCCGTGTCAGCCCTGCCGTGAACCGGGACCGGGACCGTGCCTGGCTCAGCCGTGCCGTGAACCGGGACCGTGCCCGGCTCAGCCCTGCCGTGAGCTGTGGCAGCTCTCAGCCAAGATCACTCCATGTTCTGGATATTGTGGACGTTCTCAGCTGGGCTCACCTGTGAAAAGGGCTCTGGGTGTCCTCACGCAATGAGCTGTGGCGATTCCCAAATGAGACTCACCCGTGCAACGACTTGTGACTGTTCTCAGGCTTATCCGTGCAGAGGATTGTGTGTGTTTTCAGCTCAGACTGAGCTGTGCGAGGATTTTTGGGTGTTCTCAGCCAGGGCTCATCCGTGCAATGAATGAACTGTGGCTGCTCTCAGTCAGAGCTCACCCGTGCAATGAGCTGTGCCCGTTCTCAGGGTTCCCCCATGCAATGAGCTGTGCCCGTTCTCAGCCAGGGCATGCAATGAGCTGTGCCCGTTCTCAGTCAGGGCTCACCATGCAATGAGCTGTGCCCGTTCTCAGCCAGGGCTCACCCATGCAATGAGCTGTGCCCGTTCTCAGCTCCCGGGGATGTGCGGACAGCGGGACGAGCAGCTTGGGGAAGCGGTTGCGAAACATCCCCCCGGTCCCCAGCACTCCTCGTTCCAGTCAGCCTTCCTCCAATTCAATAGGCATAATTAAAAGTCCGCCAAAAAGCCGAGCGGACAAGTCATTAGACCCACAGCAGTGTGTTCTGCAATTTACTGACCTGCTTGTAATTAACCTCCTGCCGCCAAAATACGCCGCTGAAAAGAAGTATAAACTTATTAGTGGCGACGGTGGCTAATTAAAGCGAAAGCCGTAATTATCCCGAGATGTGGCCGCAGGCAGGGAACGGATGAAAGGGGAGAAAAGGCGCTCGATGCAATATTGGGAAGGACGCGGGGATGCCGAGCGAGGCAGCGCCCTGCTGCCGCACGCCGGTGCCCATCAGCATCCTGAGCGCCTGCATCCCGATCCAGCTGCCCTGCCCGCCGCACAAAGGGGACCCAGGCGGGCTAATTCGGCGCGGGGGCAACCGGCACGCCCCCCTCTTTGTCTCCCTTTCGCAGCCAATATCCCGAGCCCAGATGGGTTAATACATAATGCAGACAAGCAAGTAATTGCTTGCCTTTGTGAGGCCGTCAGCGCTGGGTCCCCGGCCCTCTGATCCCCCATTAGCGGCCATGCAAACAAGCCTTCCACCCAATTAAGCCCAGCTTTGATAAAGCCTTTCCCAATGATGTGGCGGTCCCAAACTAGCGATTCGCACATGAGCCACTACCTGTTAAACCCGGCGTCGGCTTCCTTCGGGGACGAGCATCCCTCGCCTCTCGCCGTGACCCAGCTGCCGAGCTCTGCCCGGCTTCCCCCGGCCCTGAAGGGAGGCTCGGCTGATAAATGATCTCGACAAACTCTATATTAAAGAGGTGGAAATGGGATGTTAATATACCCCAAGCCGCTCGTCTCGAGAACACATGGGCTCCGGCTTTCCGAAGATGCTGGTAATGAGGCGGGCTGGGATGCCCGCGAGGAGATCTCGACGCACCGGCCTCCTGCGCCTGCCAGGTGCGGAGGACAGACAGACTGACACCCGTCCTCTGAGGCATCCCCACACCGCTCCACAGAGGCTCCATGGGTCATCCCCTAAAGCATCTCAATCTGCTCACTGAAAGCATCCCAGCAGCATCCCCTAAAGCATGCCAGCGCACTTCCCTGGAATATCCCAGCTTTATCCCTTGCACACCCTGGCATCATCCCCTAAAGCACGTCAGTGCGCTCCCCTAAATCTTCTCAGTCATCCCCTAAAGCATCTCACTAAGCTCTCCTAAAGCATCCACTAAAAAATTCTGGCACCATCCCCTAAAATATCCTGGCATCAACGCCTACAGCATCCCAGTGTCGTCCCCTAGGTCATGCCAGCACGTTCATCTGAAACATCCCAACGTTATTCCATCTCACACCCTGGCATCCTCCCCTAAAGCCTCTCACTGTTATCCTCTAAATCATTCCAATGTGCTTCCCTAAAGTTTTAGGGATCATTCCCCTAAAGCATCCCAGCACCATCCCCTACAGCATTCCAGCATTATTCCTTGCAGCATTCCAGTGTACTGCAACACAGAATCTTACCATCATCCCCTAACACATCCTGGCATCTCTCTGTGCATCCCATACTCATCCCTTAAAGCATTCCAGTGACATTTTCAAAAGCATGATAGATTGCTCCCCTACAGCATCCCAGCATCACACCCTGAAGTCCCATAAGGTCCTCTAAAATATGCCAGCATCTCTCCTTAATTCATCCCACCATTATCCCCTAGAACAGTCCAGTCTGTTCTCTGAAAAAATCCCAGTGTCAATCCTTAGGGCATGTCAGCATCATCCCCTAAAACACCCCAGTGCACTCCCCTTATACAGTGTTATCCATGAGGCATCGTGACACCATTCCCTACAGCATCCCAATATCATCCCCTACAGCACCCCAGTGTCATCCCCTACAGTATTCCAGTGTCATCCCCTACAGCATCCCAGTGTCATCCCCCACACCATCCCAGTGTCATCCCCTACACCATCCCAGTGTCATCCCCCACAGCATCCCAGTGTCATCCCCCACAGCATCCCAGTGTCATCCCCTACAGTATTCCAGTGTCATCCCCTACACCATCCCAGTGTCATCCCCCACACCATCCCAGTGTCATCCCCTACACCATCCCAGTGTCATCCCCTACACCATCCCAGTGTCATCCCCCACAGCATCCCAGTGTCATCCCCTACAGCATCCCAGTGTCATCCCCCACAGCATCCCAGTGTCATCCCCTACAGTATTCCAGTGTCATCCCCTACAGCATCCCAGCATTATCCCCTACAGCATCCCAGCATTATCCCCTACAGCATCCCAGTGTCATCCCCCACACCATCCCAGTGTCATCCCCCACAGCATCCCAGTGTCATCCCCTACAGTATTCCAGTGTCATCCCCCACACCATCCCAGTGTCATCCCCTACACCATCCCAGTGTCATCCCCTACAGCATTCCAGCATTATCCCCTACAGCATCCCG